TTGAAGAAAGTGTTAATTTCTCTTTATACATTGTTTTGATGGTTTATTTCCTTGCCATATCACAGAACATTTTCGCAAGCTGACAAGAAGGCAAAATCAGGAAACGACTAGAATAGTCCAATTGTCTATCTCGCCGCAGATAACAAACTCCCCTCATCTGATTACAGGCAATTGATATGTAATTGTAATGTAATGTAGCAGTATATGCCTCAATATACCGATCTCCTGTTTCCTGTGGTGTACATCTGCTAGACGCAGACTTCCTATTAACACAGAGTTCATACGTGCTATTTTGACTTTATATGCATGGTTCGAGAAGAAATCACTAAGCAAATTCGAGTGTGGGGTTTTTCTATACACGTCTCGACCTAACTTATTACCTTCGTTGCTAACTAGTAAATTCAAAAAGGCAATTTATTTTCCTTTTCTAACTCCATGCTAAACTTATTACTGGACGTGAAATAAAATGGTCTCAAATTAGTAGATTTGTTGATTACGGTACGTCTGTGGTTAAAAGAAAGATAAGAGAGGCTATTACAATTAATAGATTAGGAAACACGTTGAATGTGAGAAACGGTGGTAGAAGGTTGAGTATGAATTACTTATGCTTGATTGATAGATTGAAAGAGAGAGAGAGGTTGTTGAGCCGCCTTCAGAAAGAAGGCGGATCTTCAAACAAACCAGACATGCCAAATTACGCAACCCCATTCTTGCCTTTCCTTATAAGGTTAAACGTTAATGACCCTTGACTGAAAGGTTAGAACAAGTGGTTTCGTAACTTGATTATCATGCTTACAAGCTCATATTTCATTATCTCAACCATACTTGTTTACGGACCTACGCAGTCTCGGTCAAGGATTTCTCTTGGGTCATTAGGTCCTGAGGAACAGAACCGGAGATTTAACCGCATTTCATATAGACGCTAACACACACAACTATACATACTCATACAATCGAGCAAAAATAACAGGACCAAAATGAAAGAAAATTAACCAAACCACTCTATATCGATCTATCTGGGTTTTTAATTTTTAATTTTTTGGCTCGATTGAGTCTATATAAGTAGTAAGATAGAGCCGGATAGAATTCTTTTTTTTAGTGTTAACGTGAGACTTTTACAAGAATGACACCTAGCCCTGATGATGTCCATCATTTGATGGACGAAAGCTCAGCACGTTTTCACCCGAAACGACGGAGGAATGCATCAACATGAATATCGTATCAAAGCCAAACGGCTGCAGTACAACGAGATTCATCCGTCCTCATCTGGTCAGATCGACCAACGAATCTATTCTTCATGCACTTTCATTCGAAATGAAGGTCCCCCTAATAATGTTATCTCAGGAGACTCATCGAAACCAACTTTCTCCTCGTATCTTCAATTTATTAGCTCAAGGAATTCCCTCAATCTGTCTTTGCGGTGTTGCCAAACAGCAAATTTATCGTTAATATGGCCAACTAATTACTTGTGTAGAAGGAGTGCTATGAGATCTTGTTTAGCCCATATTTTAGCAAATAACTACACGGCTCAATTAAAGTTTAGAGTTTTTCAAGGGAAACTCCTATTTCCAAAGTTATCATTCCGTAATATGGACGATTATTGTGCTGTATGGCAACAGGGCTAAGATATAAGTGGGTTGACCTCGTTTTCGCAACTTGGCCTTGTTGTCAGGGCGACTTAGTAGAACGCACCTAGTCCAAAGTCGTCTGCCATAGTAGTTGTCTTGATTCCTAGCATCTGACCTTGGACTTGATACATTCTCAAACGAAAGGAGACTGCGACAATAACAGAGGCCACAACATCTTGGTCTTCATACATTCAATGACTACGATAGTTTAGATGGATTCCTTGAGGTGTTTCGAGACTACCAGTAGATCATTTATATATGAAGTGTATTCCGCCTATTCAGTTTAAGGTGATAAAGTAACTTATAATTAAATTTTTTACACAATCATATGAATAGACCTTACATTTCCACTCAATTTCACATAGCCTTGCTTTCCTAAAAGATATTCTCATCCAGATTGGACTGCAGTCTCGAATTTGCCAGTCCGAATTCTTACCAGCACCCTCAGCGGAACTCGGACCATGACAGTGCAGCGTATAATCTTGACACGTTAGCAACTACGCCACATTTCCACGAGTGATCTTGGTTTAGAGGGCAGATGTAAATATCACATTCTGTACTGGGATTGCCGATGAAGCAAAGTTGTATTTGCGATAGCAATAGATTACATTACTTATATTTAGTTGATGAGTAGGCCTGTTTACCTGCTTCTGACGACTTCCACACCTATACAATACTTACTATTTGTCTCAAAACCTACATTATCTGATAATAACTCCATCATTATCTGACCTTGACAATTATTCATTCCCTCCTTCCTACAAACTCGAGCCGTAATAAGTCACTGCCACATAAGCCTCTGCTCGGTATGCACTTTCCCTGTCACGGTGAGGCCAGCCACCATCGCACAGGCGAGAAAAGCATAAACGCATAAGAACTGAAATTTGGACTTTCCACAAAGAAATAAGCAGGTCTCGTGATGTCATTAAATCTCCCTAAAACCTGACTGCTTAAATACCAAGACCAAGATGTAGTGGTCTCTGTTTTGGCCGCAGTCTCCTTTCGCGGTATCAAAATGGCCTAGCCTCGTTTTCGCAACTTGGTTAGACGTACCTTGTCTGAAGTACAAGAGTTTACTTCTCGAGGCTAAAAATGGCAAGATTCACTGACGATGCTAACTACGCTACCAGCAACACTTCTGGGAATGGTTCAAGTCCACACTCCAACAATGGGAATTATGACAACTACTGCAGCAGACGATTTCGAACAAGGTGCGTCCAACTCGATTGCCCTGACAACACGAACATATCACAAAAGGAGGTCAGACTATTTATATTCTGGCAAAGAAGACTGTGAACAAAACAGAGGCCACAACGTATTTTTTTTACATAATGTCGGCAAAAACAACAAATTGGTAGACATGGCAATCCACTTTGAAGCAAGTTGTTTTTTTGAGCACGAGCCAAATTGAGCTAATCTGCATATAGAAAGAGCAATTGAATCTCGATGAATCTCATGAGAAGAGTTTCAATTCTTGACTTATTGTAAACTTAAAGTTTGTGTAATAATGAGTTACAGCTCTGATGATGCCTGCCAAATTGCCTCACGCAGGAAAGGTCAGCTTGATTTATCCCGAAATAAGGGAGGATGTCTTGTATGAAAACCAAACGACGGGATAACAATCAGAATCAGCTGTCATCTTCACATGAGATCGACTTTCGCATCTCCTCTTCATGCACTTTCATACAAAGTGTGTCACACTCCAGGCAGTTGTTTGGGGGACTTTAATTTCGTATGAAAATGCGTGAAGAAGAGATTCGTAGGTCGATTTCACCGGAAGAGGACGGCTGAATACCGCTGTACTGTAGCTGTTTGGCTTTAATACGACATTCAGGTTGACGCAATCCATGAGACCCATTTCCCTTAATTCAGGTGAAAACTGGCTGATCTTTCGTCCATCCTATGAGATGGAACTCATTCTTGCTCTATTGTTAACTTGAGACTTTTACTAGAATGACTTCCAGAAATGACGATGTCCATTTCATATGATGGACAAAAGCTGAGCCCGTTTTCACACGAAACGACGGAGGAGGTCTCGTGAACTGCGTCAACCGGAACGTCGTATTAAAGCCAAACGGCTTCACTACAACGCGATTCATCCATCCTCTTCTGGTGAGAATGAGCTACAAATCCCTTATTCATGCCCGTTCATACGAAATGAAAGCTCACCCAACAATGTTATCTCAGGCGATTCATCGAAATCCAATTACTCTCAGTTAGTAATTCTAATCTCTATACCCTTTAATCAGCAACTTCTTGGCCCTACATGATACACTTCTTGGCTACTTTACCCACTTAGCTGTAACTCGTCGCCTCTTTCACATTCTCCCACCTCGCATAAAATAATTTTTTACTCAAATTCTGTATTCAAACCAATTTTTTATTGCAATAACGCAAGAGTCTTTATTATAAATGGCCATACTGCACGTAATACCGTGAAAAATAGTATCTTAGTGAATATTTATTGTTGGAGAGACCTTCATTTGGCATGAAACTGCATGAAGAAGAGATTCGTAAGTTGATCACACCAGAAGACGACGGCTGATTCCGTTGTACTACAGCCGTTTGGCTTTAATTCGACGTTCAGTTTGAAGCAGGGATTTTTGCAAAAATGAATTCCAGCTGTGATGATTTCCATCATGAAATGGACGAAAGCTCAGTCCGTCTTCACTCGAATCGAGGGAGAATGTCTCGTGGACTACGCCAAACGGCTTCATTATAACGGAATCAGATGTCGTCTTCTGGTGAGATCAACCTACTAATCCCCTCTTCATGCACTTTCATACGAAATGAAGGTTTCCTTAAAAATGTTATCTTAGGAGATTCATGGAAAACCAGCTATTCTTCTTATATACAGTAAATACTTAATTGACTGGTTGGTCAAATAAATTTGTGAATGAATGGACAAGTCATTGGCTGATTGATTTGTCCACTACCAATCATCAAACCTTTCAATCATTTGTATATTCATCAGTCATCATCTTATTTGACCTAAGGTGAAGAGAACTTATATCCAAGATCTAAGGGTAGTTTTGAAGTCTACTTAATCGAAATATTAAGATTATAACTGTTGAAATTTGTAAAATGTCAGAAAATACTAAACGAAATGATAAGTGTAGCATACATCTGAAACCATCATTTGGCTAGGGCTAACTCCATCTTTTCAACTTTGCAGGGAATTTCGTCTCCGCCGTCTTATTCCAAGCATCTTATTTTGCACGGCGAGTCGGCCTCGTCGATCGTGGACACGAGTTCTAACTTCCAAATGAACTTCGAGGATGGGGTCTTCGATGATGATCGCCTTCATAGCGACGACAAATTATCCTCTGACGACAGAACCAAGTGCGGAAACATTATGGAATCACCGACCAACAACTCTCTGTTGGCCACTCCCCGACAGGCGACTTCGCCAATGCCATTGTCAAGGTCTGATGAGTGGACCTTCCAAGGCCGGCTAGACAACCTGTCTCCAGACGACGCAGATGACAAATTCTCTGGTCTGGAAGGGGCTGCCGAAAGGAGAGCACAAGCCGTCTACTATGCTCCGGTCAGGCAGACCAGAAGTCGACAGCAGGAATACACTCTCAGTTGACCTTAAGATCAACGTCTGGCCTAGCTGGCTTCTGCTTCGTAGGTAGGTCAGAAAATTAAATAAGAAGCCAACTTGGTTGCTAACCCATCAAAACTGTTGTCATAAGGGTAGGGATGTAATGGTGATTATTCTAGTTGTGATGATGGTTGGGGTGGTGGAGCGATTGTTGTGAATGCCGGGCTATTATTATTTCATATCATTTCATTTCATTTAATCCCATCTAATCTAATCTAATCTAATTTCATTTCAACTCATCTCATCTCATCTCATCTCATCTCATCTCATCTCATCTCATCTCATCTCATCTC